AATGGCGAAAGTGCACGAGCGAATAACAACATTGCGCACTTGTGTTTGACAAATCTGCTTGAGAACTGTCAATCACTGCAATCGTGTTTTAATTGGTCAATACTCCCATCCATCAAAACATTGCCGATTACACATTGGCTGGCTATATCCAGACTTTATCCAGCCAAAAACCGAGATGCGAGATTGAGAGGTATCTAAGCCAGTCAGGCGGTCCCTTGGCATTTTGATCGATTACAGAGCCTGTGATTGAAGGAGAGAGAAGGGGGATGACTCATTTTATCCGGAAGAGTCTAAACTACAGGGGTGAGATGGCTTTCGAGTGTTGGAAAATAGATAAGAATCAATATTTTTTTTGAAAATAAACATGACGCGAACTCTATCTCGAAAACGCTCATGCAAACAAAGGAGGATATTTCATTTTTTCCCCTATTTTTTCGTTGTTTTGGATTAAAAAGTGGGATGCATTTTGAAGAATGGACCCTTACATTGAAATGTATGCTGTTGTTTCTTGGATTCGTCCGAACTGATCTGAACCATACGAGATAAAAGATGAGTATAGCGGTTCATTTTACTCATTTTCAAATGAGAGGTCCTTTTGCATTTAATTTAACCCTTTCCTCTCTGTTGTATTGATTGCAAAAACAAGTTTAGAACATGATTCTGGAGTGTTTTAGCTTTCAAATGATGCATAGTTTATGATAGTCAGTTGAATATTTGTTATAAAACAAAGCTTAAAAAAGTGATAAAAGTTTAGCCACGCCCTCGACGGCCCGTCATCGGGCCGGTGCTTGATAAGAGGTTAAACGAATCGTATTCTCCTAATTCAAAAGATGGCTTGATTGAAATCTGCGTAAAAGGTTTTGTTTTATTATTATAATTATCATAAGGTTAAAACGATGGTCTTTTGTCTCTGCTAAGTGCTGGAGACCAGCTCACAGACCATGCATAAATTATGATAAAGCAAGAAGTAGATCCGCCTCCAATTGGCCAGAAGCTTCTTGGAGGTTGGACTAGAGTTTAAGTTAAAGATCCGAACAAAGGACCTCATGATCAGATTTTTGTGATGTATGGATTGTGCTAGATGATTTTAGATTTTTGTTCTGTTCTGTAACTGTTAAGTCCGTGCCTCTCTCTAAAACCAGCAAGAGAGTGTTCTGTTCGTGCTTATCTCTGAAACAAAGAACATGTCCACATGCTTCTACATCGACTAGACCAAATTCGACCAGCAGACGAATAACCCATCAAGATCAGGGTTACAATTCAGCTCAGTCAAGCCATCCGACTCGCCTTGCTTTCATTTCTTTCCTTTATTTCCTTTTTCGTAAAAGTCTCGTTTCAAAGTTAAGTTTGCAACGCGCTTCGAATTGGAAAAGACTCTCATTCGCTTGCTAATCACACGTGACCAGCGGCGAAACTTCCATCCCTGCACTTCAAAGACAACAAACCACGCAACGGACCCGGCCGGGATACCCCCCTTCGACGCGACGCAGACAAAGGGAATTCCCTCAGCCACTACAAAGCGCAAGTACTCCAGGCTCTAACTGAACTGGTGCTTTAATGTTAATTGAATAACCTCTCTAAGAAATGAAGGTTCAAATTAATGCTTGGTGGTCCTTTCAGGTTATGTCTTACGTGCATATAGAAAGTTGAAACTTTCTCTCACTCTTTCCAACTCACTCTTTCCCTTTCGCGACTGTATGAATGTGTGTGCGTGATTATGTTTAGTTATGTTTAGACCTTAGAGTTGTGTTTAGAATAGCTAATAAAGGTGTCCATATATTTGAAAAGTTAAATCTTCTTGTGTCGTGTTTGCACATTTAATGTCTTGTACTGTTCGATTTAAAGTTACCTTGCTAAGACATAGTGTTTCACTATAGATTTGGTTATAATTACGGCCCGTTCAAATAAACTCTAAGCGAGTCATTTGCTCGGTTCAGTGATTCGGTTCCATAGATTCATTGCAAATCAATGAATCATTTCCCTTTGAGCTAAATTGGCCTTCGGCCCCCTTTAATACATTTTATGTATATTATTATATGTTGCATTTGCTACATATTGGTGGAGGATGCGGGCAGTTCAACCTAAATTGTGAACATATATCAAGAAATTATCTTTTCATTTTTGGTTGCGGATGCGAGATCCGAACCTCCGCGAGTCTGTGTGTGACGTATGCGCCGCGCGCACGTTGAATGTTGCTGCTGCTGTTATCTGTGAGTGAAACTCCCAGAGAAAGCTGAGAAGTCTAGTCTGTCGCCTATTTTGTTTTCTTTTATTTTTAACTAAGATATAAGACCTCACACTACAATAAGGTAGGAATTAAGCGTGTTCCTTATTTCCAGAAATGCCTCGTTATAGCTGAGATATCTGCGTGTTCCAGAGTCTTTCAGAGAGCTATAACGTTGTGTGTGTTTATATCAGTCAGAGAAGCCGAACGAAATCAAACTGCAGTAATTAAAACTAACCCTGTAAGTTAAAATATTTTCCTGACAGAGCGTCAAGCGTGTTCCTTGTCGAATCTAGTCATAAAAGCCTTAAAGTTATTTATCTGATCGCAGTGCGTGTTCCATTGCTTCTCCGTGATAAATGCTTAATGCTTTCTGTTTATTTTATTTGATCGCAGTGCGTGTTCCATTGTGATCTCCGTGATACACACTTAATGCTTATCTGTTTATTTGTTTGATCGCAGTGCGTGTTCCATTGTGATAAACACTTAATGCTTATCTGTTTATTTTATTTGATCACCAGTGCGTGTCCCACTATCCGTGATCCCCGTGATAAACAGTTAACGTTAAAGTTAATGCTTTTCTGTGTATGTCTATTCAATTATTTATCGTGTAAACACTGCGCGTGTCCGAGTGTAATTGAATAGGACTTATTTTAAGTTTTGTCCAAGTAAAGCTTGTTTAGAAACTGAACCAAGTTAGACCCTGTTACTTTGTGTGAAACTAAACCTGCACAAAGACAGAGACGAGATCATCGTTCTCATACAGCGCACCGCCGCGTGCTTAAAAGTTATCACTCTCAACAAACTGAGTGATTAAGCCCCATGTCGTAAACCCAGCTACGAGTGGTGTATTTTATTTGAACAGTGTGAAATGCGCCGACATTTCCCGTAATATGATCGATTGTTACTGTATGTTCTGTGAACATGGAAATGCGCTCACATTGCATGGAACTCTAACAAACTGCTTACCAACTGCAATTCACGGTTCGCCCACTAGCGTTCGCTGGATCGCTTTAGTTGCTATCGTGACACGGAAGTCTTAACCAACACTTCCGGGTGAACTCTGACCCCCTCGAACTTTGTAAACAAACCAAACAAACGCTACGCTAAGCTAAGCTAGGCTAAGCTAAAGCTGAGCGGCTGTTTGCATTGAGGCCTGTGCTAAAGCCTTTAGCATCAGTTACTATTATCAATACTAACCCCAGCGGTTAGCTATAGTGTCTGTTTGAACAACGTTAAAGCGATTTAACCATTTAGACACCTATCGATCTTTTCTTGTTTCTTCTTTTAACTTTATCACACTTTTCTTTAAAGTTAACCATATTTTTCCTGAAAGGAAAATACTGATGTACCATTATTAATTGTTTTACCTGCATTTTACTTGAAAAAGAAAATACTGGTTTATGATTATTAATTGTCAAATTTCGAATTTGATTTTAAAAGAACAAGAAATTGCAAAATTGAGATTCTACCTTTCTAAACAGATCATTTCTAATGATTTCTAGATTTATTTTTGTAATAATTCTAATTGCATAATTTTCATAATTTTTACATTTCTCTTTGAGATCTAATCACTTTAGGTGAATTAGTTTTGAAACTTAAGAACTCTGAAAGTTAAAAATTTGGAAAGTTGTTATTACTATTACAAAAATAGTGTTAGACTCAGATTTGCTTATTATCGTCATTGCGCTTTATCCTTTCGTCTTGGTGGTTATAAACTCAACCACTATATTGGAATAATTCATGTGCGTGACGCTTCAATAGGAGACATTACCATCTCAATACGAGTTTCAAATAAACCAGAGACAATCGTCTTTTACAAAGTTTATTTGTGTGTTTAGTTGTTCATCAACTATCAATTCTATACTCGTAGTAGATCTAAAGGTAGCGGGATCCAACCTCCTTGCTTCATTTCCTCCTCATCACATCTTTCCTGTTCTGTCCTGCTTTATTCCATCTAATTTTGCACATTTGTAGGGAACAAACCTGGAAGAACCATCAACCAACTCTAAAAAGAGACAAAGATAATCTTTCCCAAACAGATTATTAGGTATTTGATTTTTAATCAAACCCTCTTGTGTTCTTCTCACTCTCCCTGCATTTGTAAACGCAATTTAAACTTTGACATCTTATCCAAGATTAATTAACAGAGACAAGTGTTGAGCAAACTCCGCCTTCAAAGCATCCCTGCTGTAAGCCCTGCTGTAAGCGGTCCAACCGAAGGTGTGTGTGTCAATCCTGTCAAACTCAGAAAAGAGGTATCAGCATTATTATTGTATTATTTTTCATTGCAAACATAATCAAAAATATTGTTTACCTTTCTGGAAACAGATTGTCATTGATAGAAACATTTATGAGAAATTAATACTTTCCCTAGTTAATAATTTCCTTTTTGTTTCGTTTCTCTCTCATTTGAAATTGGTTGTTAACTTTTCTCTCTTCCTCTCTTACTCAGTTGAGTGACGAAGTCCTCACATCACGAGTTGAAACCAGCTTTCCAGTGATAGAAAATATTTACAAAAAATATTTTCTTCCATTGAAAAAAAAGCTATTTCCATCTGAGATTTGTTTTAACCTCTCTCTTTTTCTTTCCTTTACCCAGTTGAGTGACGAGATCTTCACATCCCTAGCCTCACTGTGTACACTTAGACCAACATTTAGTCATCACGACACTTCACTATTGGTGCACACTTACTGAAACTACACTCAGCCGTGCAACCACATATAGGCTTATACCACACAGATCTGTGTCAGTCTCTTCACCGAGCGTGCCAACATGTCGTGGACGACAAACCCCACTGCCCAACGGGAAGACATGGACGCCTGGCTCAGAGGCATTACAGACTGCCTCACACCAAAGACAATTGAACTGTTATTATTCTTAATAATAATCATAATTCTGAGAAGATTCCTGACACATGATTCAAGCCAAAACCAAAGCCATGTGGAACTAACCAAAATAACCTGTTCCCTAAGCAATGCCTTCACAGCCCAGCTAAAGCTAAGCCACCAGCACGTCACCCACCTTCAGGAGGAGCTGACACGTGCCCAAAGCCGCATAGACAAGCTGGAAGTGAAAGTCCAGGACGACCTCAAGACCACCGAGTTCCTGAGAGAGCTGACCCACACTCAACACTGCAAAGACCAGCTCAAAGCGTCCGAAGAAGCGGAGCATGAAACAAAGACCCAAGTTGACAAGCTCCAAGAAGCCCTTGCAGTCACTGAACGTGACAAACAAGAGTTAAAGACTGTCCAGAAGCACCTGGAAAACCAACTCCAGTCTGCTGAACATCAGCTAGAGAAAGCCAAAGCTGACATTGAAAGTAAGAACTCTAAACTCACTGCTCTGGAAGACCACCTGCGAAGGTGCAGCGTTGAAATTGACCATCTGATCCAACAGCGAGACGACGCCAACGACGAGCTCTACGCGGTCAGAGATGAACTCCAACATGTCTTTACACAGAAACCAGAGCCAAGAAGGGAGAGACCTCCCTCAGCATCATCACTGCTGAGCAGAACAGAGTCCTCCATCCAAGAACTGTCATCCTACGGAAGAAGTGAATGGCCACACCCCAAAACGTCACCGGCCTTCACCACAGAACTCTTCCCTGCCAACCAACAAAGAGAGATCATCCAGCCAGACTCTAAAGCTGCAACTGGAATGACCTTCAAAGATCTCAACCAGCTGGCTAAGAACATCACCCAGTTCGACCCGAACTCCACGGAGGGCCACTGCATCCAGGCCTACCTCCAAGATATCGACTTCCTCCTAGAGGTGAGACCCCATATGACTGACAGAGACATTCTATACCTCCTCAGATCCACATCCAGTCAAGAGGTACGAAGCGTCCTAGACCGACAACCTGCTCATGTCAAGTCAAACTACCAGCTGCTACGTGAGATCCTGATTAAAGAATTTACAAGTCCAGAGTCAGAACATGGTGTGTTAGTCGCCTTGGAAACCAGACAAGGTCGTCAAGAGACTCCCCAAGCCTATTATCACCGTTTCCGACAAGCCTACTTCGGTGCACATAGCAAACCTGAATCTGAAGAGGATCTGAACTTCAAAACCCTCTTCCTGAGAAACCTGCATCCAGGACTGAGTCGTCATCTCGGCATCATGGCCTGCCCAGTCACCATGACGCTTCAACAGCTACGTGACCTGACACACAAGGCCTACATCAAACAAAAGATGACTTCAAAGAAAGGTTTGAAAACATCCACAGTGTCAAACTCCAGCAGCCAAGACACAAGCCTTGCACTGGAAGACACCCAGTGGCATGACAACGCCACAGTCCTTCATCAGGAGCACAGAGAATGCTACTCCCATGCCGATGACAGCTACCACTCCAACCACGTGGAAAAGTCATGGGACCCACCAGAAGGAAACAACTGGAATCAACGAGTGCATCCAAAAGCATTCTATGTGGGTAAGCGAAAACGAAACCCACCTCCACACCACACTGAGTGTGTCCAAGAACACGACAGTCTCCCCTCAGAAGACATGGAGCAACTACTGAGTCGACTGCGAGTGTTCTTCAAAGACAAGCTGAACACAGAAGACCAGTGATCACCTTGCACACCTTCCTGAGACGACCACCTGTTCTACAACAACACAGAACAAAGTGGCCTCTCACAGTCAACCACTGACAAACACCCAGAGGTACCAGAAAACACCATCCTGGTTACCCATCACACCACAAGCTCCAAACTCAAGAACCATCTGTGTGCTGCCGCAACACCAGTAAGCACAGAAGTCAGACTGTCTGTCACAACCAGAAGGCATCACAAGTGGAATGCAACAAGGAGACCACGTTTTGCACTACAGCTTCACGCATCCGTGCCAAACCACCTCCCAATGTCTGCCAGAGAACTTCCTGCCTTACTGGACTGACCCCCCATCAGATCACAGAAGATCCCTTTCCAAGGCAAAGATGCGACAAGCTCATCAAAGCTAAGCCATCAAGCAAAGGGGGGAGCAAAACAGACTGAGACAGATCTGACATACATACAGCATACATACAGTACATGCACTACACTACACTGTACTGACAAACACAAGTTAAACACATCTACCATGAAAACATTCAACGAACATGTTTTTCATTGTATTAGCTAACCTTTCCACCACAGGAAACATATAGCAATACACCCAACAAGTATAACACCTCTCATTACATGTTGACACCTGTCACTGCATCACAGTACCCATACTGGAGTCACTCAACTGCTTTGTTTTGTTTTACCTCTTCCTTCCCTTCTTCTCTTATTAGGTAAAATCCCTTTTGCCCCATAAGGGTCAAGGTTACAATATAAGGATTGACGCACCACGTCTGACGTTTGCAAGTCACCTTAGAACGAATGTTAGCCAGAGAACTCCCTGCATCATTCGAATCAAAATCTGGAAGGTAAATTGGTCTAAACCTAGAACAATTTAGAAGTGGATAAAACAAACAAATCAAATTTAGTCACAAAGTTGATCAATCACCGTTTAACACAAACTAGAATAACGGTCCTAAAATTGAACTAAACTTTTTCCACATAATTGACTATATTGAGAGAGTGAACTCGTTAGGCCTAGATAACCTAATGCCCTGCACCAGTAAAGTGACCAGTCATGGAGGAGTTGCCTTGTTGTTTGCTGTGTGTGTTTGCTTCTTCTTCTTCTGTTTCTCCAGCGTTCAATGATGTCTTCTTCTCAACCCATCATCGATCGAGGGGGGAATATGTAGAGAATCGAGGCGAATCAAACACAACTTAATCAAATTAATCTCTCATGGGATTAATTCACATGGCTTCAACACTCCAAGTTCTGGAGCCCACATTCCAGAGTCACGGAACGACTCTGTGCTGTCTGCAGATAAGGACTTTTATTGCCCCACAGGCCCAAGAGAGGGGCACTAAACAGGACGAACGTGTCAATATGGTAATGTTACTAAGACAAATCTGCTCCAAAATGGTGGAACGAGAGGCTCACATCAAAGACCCCTCTGATGCCCTGACAGAGATGTTCCACAGAACACCTTTGCCTCGTCCCCCTTCGAGTTGAACTCTCAGTAACCTTACGATTGAGATCGGAGATCTCACACATAAAATCATATAAACTCACCACAGAACAATTCTTGAACTTTTAATCAAACCTCACAAGTCTCATTGCTTTCTGCAATTCATGTGTTGTTTGTTAATGCTTAGATCACATATGAATCATGTAATTGTTGTTAACTATTAACTCTTGTAATTGTTATACAACCATTAGAAGTGTGAATGCCTCATTTACTCTTAAACGAATCGTATTCTCCTAATTCAAAAGATGGCTTGATTGAAATCTGCGTAAAAGGTTTTGTTTTATTATTATAATTATCATAAGGTTAAAACGATGGTCTTTTGTCTCTGCTAAGTGCTGGAGACCAGCTCACAGACCATGCATAAATTATGATAAAGCAAGAAGTAGATCCGCCTCCAATTGGCCAGAAGCTTCTTGGAGGTTGGACTAGAGTTTAAGTTAAAGATCCGAACAAAGGACCTCATGATCAGATTTTTGTGATGTATGGATTGTGCTAGATGATTTTAGATTTTTGTTCTGTTCTGTAACTGTTAAGTCCGTGCCTCTCTCTAAAACCAGCAAGAGAGTGTTCTGTTCGTGCTTATCTCTGAAACAAAGAACATGTCCACATGCTTCTACATCGACTAGACCAAATTCGACCAGCAGACGAATAACCCATCAAGATCAGGGTTACAATTCAGCTCAGTCAAGCCATCCGACTCGCCTTGCTTTCATTTCTTTCCTTTATTTCCTTTTTCGTAAAAGTCTCGTTTCAAAGTTAAGTTTGCAACGCGCTTCGAATTGGAAAAGACTCTCATTCGCTTGCTAATCACACGTGACCAGCGGCGAAACTTCCATCCCTGCACTTTAAAGACAACAAACCACGCAACGGACCCGGCCGGGATACCCCCCTTCGACGCGACGCAGACAAAGGGAATTCCCTCAGCCACTACAAAGCGCAAGTACTCCAGGCTCTAACTGAACTGGTGCTTTAATGTTAATTGAATAACCTCTCTAAGAAATGAAGGTTCAAATTAATGCTTGGTGGTCCTTTCAGGTTATGTCTTACGTGCATATAGAAAGTTGAAACTTTCTCTCACTCTTTCCAACTCACTCTTTCCCTTTCGCGACTGTATGAATGTGTGTGCGTGATTATGTTTAGTTATGTTTAGACCTTAGAGTTGTGTTTAGAATAGCTAATAAAGGTTTCCATATATTTGAAAAGTTAAATCTTCTTGTGTCGTGTTTGCACATTTAATGTCTTGTACTGTTCGATTTAAAGTTACCTTGCTAAGACATAGTGTTTCACTATAGATTTGGTTATAATTACGGCCCGTTCAAATAAACTCTAAGCGAGTCATTTGCTCGGTTCAGTGATTCGGTTCCATAGATTCATTGCAAATCAATGAATCATTTCCCTTTGAGCTAAATTGGCCTTCGGCCCCCTTTAATACATTTTATGTATATTATTATATGTTGCATTTGCTACACAGCTCTGCCACCAGCTCTGCTTCAGCCTCTACAACTAGTTCAAGCTTGTCTGCAGGGGCTGCTGCATCCCCACCTGCAGCAAAAGCTGGGAAATGGGAAAATTTTGACTCTCAGGTCCTTGCATCTCAGCGGCATCGGACAACTAGCACAGATGCACTAATTGAACTGCGCAGGTACTCAGAAGAGAGGCCAATTGGACTTCCGGTATGGCGGCGAGGCGAGTGGCAGTGTAGAACGTGTGCTCCCAGACAAGTCAGTTATACTCCCCCTGCTTAATTTAACTTTACGCCGTGTAATTGATGAACGAATATGGAGGGGGAGAAACAACGAAAAGCTAGAAGTAAATCAACCCAAAAACCTGAGAAAAACGGGAGACAAACAAAGGAGAATGATGACGATGACAACGCTGGTGAGAACGAGGCCGCGGATACAATGCAAGTTTGCATCAGCGCTATATATTCTGAAATTAAGGCACTCCGATCTGACGTGAACACAGAATTAAACAACTTTCAAGAGACTTTCTCCAGAGACTGGAAAGCAGACCTGGCAAGCCTGAGTACAGACATCAGCCTCAAGCTGAACGAAATTACCAAAGATCTGAAGGACACGGTGAATAGAGTGGAGGAGGTCGAGCAAAGGGTGGCGGATTTGGAAGAATGGAGTGCGGAGGCTAAGGAGGTGCTAGGCCAAACTCTCGACATCCAACAAAAAATGCAAATAAAACTGACAGATCTTGAAGCGAGATCACGACGAAACAATATACGCTTGTACGGGATCCCGGAGGAGGCCGATTATGACAACATACAGGAAGTTGTTGAAAATTTAATCAAGACAGAACTGTCCCTCGCCGAAACTGAACTTGGGATACAGCGTTGCCACAGGGCGCTCGGCCCTAAACCACCGCCAAATGCTAACCCCCGATCGGTTGTTGTCTATTTTCTTGAATACAGAATTAAAGAGCTGGTCCTTCATTCAGCATGGAAAAAGAGGGAAGTTTACCTGAAAGGAAAACGGGTGTACTTTGACCAGGATTACCCAGCTGAAACTCAAAAGAAGAGGAAGGCATACACCCATATCAGGAAACTACTCAAAGAGAAGGGTCTCCGTTTCCAGACACCACCCCCCGCTAAACTTCGGGTATTCTTTGAAGATGGTCCAGTTGTTTATAACAGCGCAACGGAGGCGATGAAGGACCTAATAAAGAAAGGATTGACCACGGCAAACATCAGAGAAGACATCACCGCACCGACTTCAATGGAGAGGCTGAGTAAAATCTCTTGGGAAACAGCAGGTGCAAAACCACGACGTACCCGAGATGAACATCAAGAGAGGGCACGGAAAAGACTCCAGGATTTCCGTCGGGATCCCGGAGAAACGGTTTGATTCCCTCTCAGGATGAACTTATATCAATATAAACGTGGCGTACGAAATCAACAACATCAGTCGTTTAATATAACAAGGGTAATGTTAATTTCATACAAGAATTCTGTTATTTGTGTTGACTCGATATGCTTAAACTGAGGCTCATGCCTCAACTCTGGCGTTTTGTTAGTTGAGTTTACGTCATAGCTTGAAAGACCTGTATAAATGAATACAACGACTAGGTCTGGGAGCTGAAGATAAGATGTGCTCTGATTTTTAATATCAGTTTGCACCGGGAAGGCCCTTCGTTAATCGAAGTTTCTCCTTTCCAAATAGAAGTTTCTTTAAAAGGACCTTTGACTATGGAAGTTTCTGTTTCCTTTGATTGTAAATTCTTTTATTTTTTCACTTTTTTGTTTTGTGTTACTTGTGTTAAAATGTTAAGGTCACTTGGGATTTTTAAGATAATAGTACATCAGAAGATAAATGTCACAACAAGAATATAGTATTATTACACTTAATGTTAATGGGTTGCAAAATCCCATTAAACGAAGTAAACTTATTGCCAAGATGAAAAGAGAGAACCAACATATTATTTTTTGGCAGGAGACTCATCTAATACAAACTGAACATGGAAAACTGAGAAAGTTAGGATTTAGAAACACTTTTTATTCATCATACACTAAAGGACATGCAAGAGGTGTTGCAATATTGATATCGAATAAGGTGACTTTCCAGGTCTCCAGCCAAATAGCTGATAAAGAAGGACGTTATATTCTGGTGAAAGGGATCCTAGACTCAAAGGAAGTAACATTACTTAATGTTTACAGACCACCAGGAAAAGACAAATTACTAATTATGAAAATACTTGAGCTAATAAATTCAGAAGTATCTGGCACACTTATATGTGGAGGGGACTGGAATGTACAGCTGCATCCTACCCTAGACTCTTCAAATCCAGCAAAAAAGATAAATTCTGAATCTCTTTATGTTAAAAAAATGCTTAAGGAAGCTGGCATGATTGACATATGGAGGGAACTCCATCCAAATGTGAGACAGTTTACATTTTTCTCCCATCCACATATAGTCTACTCAAGGATTGATTATTTTTTCATGCTCCATTCAGATAGGCATAGAATTGCGGGTTGTGATATAGGAATTAGAGATGTTTCAGATCATGCGGGAGTTTATTTGAGACTCCATTTGGATGTTCACTCTAAGAACACCATCTGGAGATTGAACACTACCCTTTTAAATGATCCCCAATGTATAGAGTATATTAAAAAAGAAATCAACGAGTACATTGAATTTAATAATAATGAGGAAATGTCATCAAGTGTTCTATGGGATGCTGCTAAGGCAGTGTTAAGAGGAAAGCTGTTAAAGTGGTCCTCAAGAAAAAAAAAAGAAAAACAGAAGATATTGACTGAT